CTTTAACTGCCTAATTGTTGGGGTTCCTCCCGTTACACTCCCAAGGAAACCAAACAGGAGGAGAAACAACTGCTCTGCTTTTTATTTCTTTTCTTTTTAGTGTCAGGAGGGCCCTTTTTATGTCTACATCTGGCGCATCTGCTTTGCAGCAGCAGCAGCAGCATCTACCACGAGAAAAAGTCTCCTCTGGCAGCTGCTGCCAAACCAGGTGCTGCAGCTCCTGTGGTCAGCGATTCTGCAGATGCCCCAGCTGTCCAGGCAGACAAAGAGCTGCTTATCCTCCCCAGCACAAATGCTCGCATTTTATGGCCTCGGTAAAATGGCGGTTTGCATTTTAAATATTAGATAGATAGATAGATAGATAGATAGATAGATAGATAGATAGATAATAGATAGATGGATGGATTAGATAGAGAGATGGATGATAGATAGATAGAGATAATAGATAGAGATAGATAGATAGATAGATAGATAGATAGATAGATAGATAGATAGGGATGGATGGATGGAGGATGGAGGATGGATGGATGGATGGATGGATGGATGATAGATAGATGATTGATAGATAGATAGATAGATAGATAGATAGATAGATAGGTAGATAGATAGATAGATAGATAGATAGATAGATAGATGATGGATGGATGGATGATGGGTGGCTTGAGATAGGTAGACAGGTAAGTAGTTAGATAGAGAGATGGATGATAGAGATAATAGATAGAAATAGATAGACAGACAGAAAGACAGACAGAGAGACAGACAGACAGATAGATAGATAGATATGGATGGATGATGGATGGATGGATGGATGGATGATAGATAGATAGATAGATAGATAGATAGATAGATAGATAGATAGATATGGATGGATGGATGGATGGATGGATGGATGGATGGATGATGGATGGATTGAGATAGGGAGACAGATAAGTAGTTAGATAGATAGAGAGATGGATTATCATCCATCTCTAATAGATAATAGATAGATAATAGATAGATAGACAGACAGATAGATAGATAGATAGATAGATAGATAGATAGATAGATATGGATGGATGGATGGATGGATGGATGGATGGATGGATGGATGATGGATGGATTGAGATAGGGAGACAGATAAGTAGTTTTAGATAGATAGAGAGATGGATTATCATCCATCTCTAATAGATAATAGATAGATAATAGATAGATAGACAGACAGATAGATAGATAGATAGATAGATAGATAGATATGGATGGATGGATGGATGGAGGATGGAGGATGGAGGATGGATGGATGGATGGATGATAGATAGATGATAGATAGATAGATAGATAGATAGATAGATAGATAGATAGATGATGGATGGATGGATGATGGGTGGCTTGAGATAGGTAGACAGGTAAGTAGTTAGATAGAGAGATGGATGATAGAGATAATAGATAGAAATAGACAGACAGAAAGACAGACAGAGAGACAGACAGATAGATAGATAGATAGATAGATAGATAGATAGATAGATAGATATGGATGGATGATGGATGGATGGATGATAGATAGATAGATAGATAGATAGATAGATAGATAGATAGATAGATATGGATGGATGGATGATGGATGGATGGATGATGGATGGATTGAGATAGGGAGACAGATAAGTAGTTAGATAGATAGAGAGATGGATTATCATCCATCTCTAATAGATAATAGATAGATAGACAGATAGACAGATAGACAGATAGACAGATAGACAGATAGACAATAGACAGATAGACAGATAGATAGATAGATAATAGATAGATAGATAGATAGATAGAAGATAGATATATGGATGGATGATGGATGGATGGATGATAGATAGATAGATAGACAAGATAGATAGATAGAGAGAGAGAGAGAGAGAAAAATGGATTGAGATAGTAGACAGGTAAGTAGTTAGATAGAAGAGAGATGGATGATAGATAGATAGATAGATAGATAGATAGATAGATAGATAGATAGAGATAATAGATAGATAGATACAGTAGATACATAGATGGATGGATGGATGGATGGATGGATGGATGATAGGTAGGTAGTAGGTAGGTAGGTAGATAAAGAAAATGGACAGAACAGTTGACAAAACAAAACTCTTATTAACACTATGGATACTTATGTGTTATTTTTACTAATGCCATAGCAACTTGGTCTGGCAGAAGGAAACAGTGTTTTCTCCTATTGTGTGGTCTGCCCTTGGGCCAAATCTGTCCCCCCGCCCCCATCATAATAAAGTTGTTAGAGTAGCCGGCTTGAGAAGAGGCCAAGAAGCCTGTTGGTCAGTTGTAAAAAGAGGCCAGATTTATGTGGCATCAACCTTACCTCTCAGAAAGCAAAAACAAACAAACAGGAAAGCAAAAACCTTCCAGACTGGTTTTTGTAAAGCCAATGCAAACAATGGAGTATCCACAATAAATAAACGCAACGGTAGCCAAGCACTAAACATGTTCTTTAAAACCCTGCTTAAAGGGTAAACAGTTTTTAGAGATGACGGCAAGGAAATTAGAAATATTTCTGCATGGTGGGAAAGAAAGAAAGAAAAGAAAGAAAGAAAGAAAGAGAGAGAGAGAGAGAGAGAGAGAGAGAAAGAAAAAAGAAAGAAAGAAAGAAAGAAAGAAAAAAGAAAGAAAGAAAGAGAAAGAAAGAAAAAGAAAGAAAAAGAAAGAAAGAAAAAGGGAGGAGGGTAGGTGGTGGGGTGGGTGGGTGAGTGGAAGGAAAGAAGGGAAAGAGAAAGACAAAAGGAAGAGAGAAGGAAGAAAGAAGGATGAAGGGACGGAGAGGGAGGAAGGGAAGGAAGGAAGAAAGAAAGAAGGAAGGAAGGAAGGGGACGGAGGGAGTGGAAGGAAAGAAGGAAAAGAGAAAGACAAAGACAAAAGAAAGAGAGACAGAAGACAGAAGGAAGGAAGGAAGAAGGGAAGGAGAGGGAGGAAGGGGAAGGAAGGAAGAGAAGGAGGGAAGGGGAAGGGAGGGAGTGGAAGGAAAGAAGGAAAAGAGAGAGAAAGACAAAAGAAAGAGACAGAAGAAAGAAGGAAGGAAGAAGGGAAGGAGAGAGGAGGAAGGGAAGGAAGGAAGGAAGAAAGAGAAAGAAGGAAGGAAGGAAGGAAAGAGGGAGGAAGGGAGGGGAAGGGAGGAAGGGGAAGGAAAGAAGGAAAAGAGAGAGAAAGACAAAAGAAAAAGAGGAGAAAGGAAGAAGGAAGGAAGAAGGGAAAGGAGAGGGAGGAAGGGAAGAAAGAAAGAAAAGAAAGAAAGAAAGAAAGAAAAAGAAAGAAAGAAAGAAAGAAAGAAAGAAAGAAGAGAAAGACCTAGACCCCTAAACAAAAGATGCAAAGGTGTGTTGTTTTTATGACTGCAAGATTTGGGAAGCCGCCGAAGCTGAAATAAACAGGTTTGCACCGATGGGAGAGGAATTGGCTTTGTTTTCTTGCCGATATCCTTGTTTCTGATGGAAAGTGAAAGGTGTAATTTGATAGCACCGCACCGCCTCCCCCCCCCCCACCCGGGTCTCCATTTCATAAGAAACCGTCTGAAATTCGGGCTCTTGTTTTGTTTGGCTTTTTTCCTCTTGCCATCTGGTTCACAGGCTCTGGATCAATAGGGCTTCACTGGAGGCCCTAACTCTTCATTTTGCTGATTTCCAGCAAGTCCCTGGAGCAAGAAGGAAAAAACAAGAATGGAGGGGAGGGAGGGAGGAGGAAGAGGAAGGGTCTCCTGCACACATGCTGTGGAACGGCAGATTGTATCTCCTGCCAGAGTTGCAGAGGGCACACCCTGATCAGCCGAGTAGGACAAAACCTAGTCCGGTGACGTGCGATAGAGCAGGGGTCTCCAACCTTGGCCACTAGAAGACTTGTGGACTTCAACTCCCAGCCCAGTTGGCTGAAGAACTCTAGGAGTTGAAGTCCACAAGTCTTCAAGTGGCCAAGGTTGGAGACTCCTGAGTTAGAGACTGTCCCAGGGATCAGCAACCTGCGGCTCCGGAGCCGCATGTGGCTCTTTGGGCCCTCGGCTGTGGCTCCCTGTCAGGTGATCCCACCACTGGCTGGCCCCACACCCTTGCCCTCCTCTCCCAGTCACTCCTCGCCTGGCCTGAAAAGGTAAGGGCGACGGTGGGGGATGGAGAAGCTGCCAGGGCAAAACAGGGAGATACAGAGAGAGGGGGAGAGAGAGAGACGTAGAGAGAGACAGAGAGAGAGAGAGAGAGAATAGAGAGATACAGAGAGAGGGGAGAGGAGAGAGACATAGAGAGATACAGAGAGAGGGGGAGAGAGAGAGACATAGAGATACAGAGAGGGGGAAGAGAGAGACATAGAGAGATACAGAGAGAGGGGGAGAGAGAGAGACATAGAGAGATACAGAGAGAGGGGGAGAGAGAGACATAGAGAGATACAGAGAGGGGAGGAGAGAGAGAGACATAGAGATACAGAGAGAGGGGAGAGAGAGAGACGTAGAGAGATACAGAGAGAGGGGGAGAGAGAGACGTAGAGAGAGACAGAGAGAGAGAGAGAGAGACATAGAGAGATACAGAGTGAGGGGGAGAGAGAGAGACGTAAGAGAGAGACAGAGAGAGAGAGAGAGAGACGTAGAGAGAGACAGAGAGGGGGAAGAGAGAGACGTAGAGAGATACAGAGAGAGGGGGAGAGAGAGAGACGTAGAGGAGATACAGAGAGAGGGGGAGAGAGGGGGGAGGGAAGGAGGGAGAGAGAGAGAGATGTCAGAACGATTTTGTGGTTCCCGGTGTTTTTTAACAACTGGTTCTCTGCCCTAATGACCGCTGGGTAGGCGTGGCTGGGGGTGTCATGTGACTGGTGGGTTGATGACATCGAGTTGACCATGCCCACCCAGGTTTGTGGCTCCCGGTGTTTTCTTTTCTGTGGGAAATGGGTCCAAAAGGCTCTTTGAGTATTTAAGGTTGTAGACCCCTGGACTATCCCCAAAGGTGGTCCAAATCACCGCGCGTTTTCAGTTCTCTGGTTTCTTTTCCTAGGGAGAACAATTTCATACAAAGGACTTCCCCAACTGGCTGATGCGTTGATGGTCATTCCTCTACCGGTTGAGGAACAGTGTCGTGGTGTGCTATCAGAACCTCTTCCCAACCTCCAACTGCTAACTGGTAGGAGCCTTGACTTTTCTATGGTGGTCCCATAATCCTCCTCCTCCCTTGTTTCTCTTCCTCCTCCTCTTCTCTTCTCCCCAACCTCCTCCTTTCTAGCACTGATAACGTTCCCTAGTTGGGTCATGAAACATCTGCCAAGAAAACTACCAAGCTCAGAGATTACCAAGGACCCCACAGTTGTTTGTCCTCCTCCTCCTTCCTTCCTCCTTCCTCTCCTCTCTCCTCCTCCTCCCCCTCTCCCCAACCCTACTCTCTTTCTAAGACTGATGATGTTCCCTAACTAGGTAATGAAACATCTGCTAGGAAACCACCAAGCTCAGGGAGCATCAAGAACCAACAGTCCTCCTTCTCCTTCTCCTTCTCCTTCTCCTTCTCCTTCTCCTTCTCCTTCTCCTTCTCCCCCTCTCCCCCTCCACCCTCCTCCTCTCCCCCAACCCTACTCCTTTCTAAGACTGATGATGTTCCCTAACTGGGTAATGAAACATCTGCTAGGAAACCACCAAGCTCAGGGAGCATCAAGAACCCAACAGTCCTCCTTCTCCTTCTCCTTCTCCTTCTCCTTCTCCTTCTCCTTCTCCTTCTCCTTCTCCCCCTTCTCCCCTCCACCCTCCTCCTCTCCCCCAACCCTACTCCTTTCTAAGACTGATGATGTTCCCTAACTGGGTAATGAAACATCTGCTAGAAACCACCAAGCTCAGGGAGCATCAAGAACCAACAGTCCTCCTTCTCCTTCTCCTTCTCCTTCTCCCTCTTCCCCTCCACCCTCCTCCTCTCCCCAAACATTACTCCTTTCTCACACTGACGATGTTCATGAAACATCTGCAAGGAATCCACCAAGCTCAGGGAGCACCAAGGACCCCACTGTTCAACCCTGAGCTACAGATGTTTTCTTCTATTGACAGGGGACATTCGGTACGATGAAGCCATGGGGTATCCTATGGTTCAACACTGGAGGGTCCGAAGTAACCTGTACAGAGTGAAGCTCAGCACGATCGCCCTCTCGTCAGGTAAGCAGAACCACTTTGTAAGATTTTTTTTTTTTTTTAAGGCCACAGCTCCTGGCAGACCCTAGAAGGTGTCATCCAAGGCTCTGCAGATCTTTAATGGCTGGAATCTGTGCTGTTCTGTAACATCTTACTGTTAAGATGAATATCTCCAGCATCCATTGCATATCTCTCTCTCTCTCTCTCTCTCTCTCTCTCTTCTCCCCTCTCCTCCTCTCCTCCTCTTCTTCTTCCTCTCTCCCTCTCTCTCCCCCTCTCCCTCTCTCTCTCTCCTCCTCTTTCTTCTTCTTATCTTCTTCTTCCTCCTCTCTCTCCCCCTCTCTCTCTCTTCGCTCTCTCCTCCTCTCCTTTCTTCTTCTTCTTCTTCTTCTCCCTCTCCCTCTCTCTCCCTCTCCCTCTTCTTTCTCTCCTCCTCCCCTCTTCTTCTTCTTCTTCTTCTTTTCTTCTTCTTCTTCTTCTTCTTCTTCCTCTCTCTCTCCCGCTTCTCTCTCCTCCTCTTTCTTCTTATCTTCTTCTTCCTCCTCTCTCCCTCTCTCTCTTCGCTCTCTCCTCCTCTCCTTTCTTCTTCTTCCTTCTTCTTCCTCTCTCCCTCTCTCTCCCTCTCCCTCTTCTTTCTCTCCTCCCCTTCTTCTTCTTCTTCTTCTTCTTCTTCTTCTTCTTCTCTTCTTCTCTTCTTCCTCTCTCTCTCTCCGCTTCTCTCTCCTCCTCTTTCTTCTTCTTCTTCTTCTTCTTCTTCTTCTTCTTCTTCCTCTCTCTCCCGCTTCTCTCTCCTCCTCTCCTTTCTTCTTCTTCTTCTTCTTCTTCTTCTTCTTCTTCTTCTTCTTCTTCTTCTTCTTCTTCTTCTTCTTCTTCTTCTTTCTTCTTTCTTCTCTTCTTCTTCTTCTTCTTCCTCTTCCTCTTCTTCTTCTTCCTCTTCTTCTTCTTCTTCTTCCTCTTTTCTTCTTCTTCTTCTTCTTCTTCTTCTTCTTTCTTCTTCTTCTTCTTCTCTTCCTCTCTCCCTCCTCTCGCTGTTCTTTCTCTCCTCCTCCTCCTCCTCCTCCTCCTCCTCCTTCTTCTTCTTCTTTTCTTCTTCTTCTCTTCTTCCTCTCTCCCTCTCTCTCTCCCTCTCCCTCTTCTTTTTCTCCTCTCCTCCTCCTCCTCCTCCTCCTCCTCCTCTTCTTCTCCTCCCTCCCTCCCTCTCACTGTCTCTCTCTTTCTTTCTGCTTCATCTTTCTAGGATTTGCAAATGTCCTCAAGATTCTGAACAAGGACAGCAGCCGTGAGGAGCTGCTGTATTTCATTCAGCAGTATGGCTCCCATTACATAGCAGAGGGCTTATACGGCTCTGAATTCAGCTGCACCATTCACTTCCCAAGCAAGAAAATACAACAGCAGCTCTGGTTGCAATATCAGAAAGGTAAGCAGCATGAGCTGGCACTTTTCTTAATTTTTTCCTATATTTCTGTATTCATTTTGAACTGGACAAATCCGGTTGGAAGACTTGGAAGGACTGTGCATTCCAATTTTGCAACATTCCTATGGTCCTGTTTAGGCCAGGAAGTTCCTTTCTCGCACAATTGTCAAGAATCATGACTTTTTCTTTCTGCAAAAGGGAGGGAGGGAGGTTAGGAAGGAAGGGAAAGAAGGAAGGAAGAAGAAGGAGGGAGGGGGAGGGAGAGAAGAAAGGAAGGAAGGAAGGAAGGAAGGAAGGGAAGGGAAGGGAAGGGAAGGGAAGGGAAGGGAGAATAGGAAGTAAGGAAGGAGGGTGGGAGGGAGGGAGGAGAAAAGAGAAAGGAAGATACGGAAATTATTCTGAGAAGGAAGGAAGGGAAGGGAAGGGAAGGGAAGGGAAGGGAAGGGAAGGGAAGGGAAGGAAGAATAGGAAGGAAGGAAGGAGGGTGGGAGAGGAGGGGGAGAAAAGAGAAAGGAAGATATGGAAATTATTCTGAGAAGGAAAGGAGGGAGGGAGGGAGGGAGGGAAGGAAGGGAAAGGGGAAGGAGAATAGGAAGGAAGGAAGGAAGGAGAGTGGGAGGGAGGGAGGAGAAAAGAGAAAGGAAGATATGGAAATTATTCTGAGAAGGAAGGAAGGAAGGAAGGAAGGAAGAGAAGGAAGGAAGGAAGGAAGGAAGGAAGGAAGGAAGGAAGGAAGGCATTGTGTTGCTTTCCAAACTGCCTAATTTCCTATTATCGTCTCACAATGATGCCACTGGATCATGAATATTTTTGAATTGTTTGAATTGCCTGCTTAGTTGTGAAGTCACATCCCCAGGTCCTAGTTAATTAAGATTTATTCGCCATTACTTTCATTGTTGAGCTGGCTTCGCGACCTTCTGCATTCTTCTTGGCCTCCTTTAATTCAAGGCCCTCTCAAGTGAAGAGACGTAGATGTCTTGCCCCTTTTTCGACCCACCTCTCTTTCCTTTCTCACAGGTGTGCACCCGCACACCTCATTTTCACCCGCAGGCCCCTTGGTGCTGCCTCCCTTTCTCTGCCTGCTGTGCTGTGATCCTTGTCATCTGCTTTCCAGCCCCCTCAAAATTGCCCAGGGTGATTTGGGCAGGTTTGTTTTGTTTTTTTTTAATTTATAAATGTGGCGTAATTGAGCTATCTGGCAATAGTTCTGTTTTTATCGCTTGCGACAATGATGGTCTTTAAAGAAGTGCATTAATTCAGCCGCAGATGCATTGTGCTATGTGATAAATAACCCGGCGCATCGTTAAAGTGGGCAGTAAACTTTGGGGGTTTGAAGCGTTGCCGTTATGATAAAATCCTGGAAGTTCTCAAGTTTGGCTGTTCCGGTTGAGAGAGAGAGAGAGAAAGGGAGGGAAGGAGGAGATAGGAATGAGAAGAAAGTATTCTTCCCACTCCTGGGGGAAGGATATTGCAAAATCCCCATTCCCTAAATCCCGATTCCTTCCCCACTCCTGGGGGAAGGATATTGCAAAATCCCCATTCCCTAAATCCCGATTCCTTCCCCACTCCTGGGGGAAGGATATTGCAAAATCCCCATTCCCTAAATCCCGATTCCTTCCCCACTCCTGGGGGAAGGATATTGCAAAATCCCCATTCCCTAAATCCCCGATTCCTTCCCCCACTCCTGGGGGAAGGATATTGCAAAATCCCCATTCCCTAAATCCCGATTCCTTCCCCACTCCTGGGGGAAGGATATTGCAAAATCTCCATTCCCTAAATCCCGATTCCCTCCCCACTCCTGGGGGAAGGATATTGCAAAATCCCCATTCCCTCCCCACTCCTGGGGAAGGATACTGCAAAATCCCCATTCCCTCCCCACTCCAGGGGAAGGAGACTGCAAAATCCCCATTCCCTCCCACTCCAGGGAAAGAGACTGCAAATCTCCATTCCCACCCCACTCTGGGGCAGCCAGAGTTGGTATTTGCTAGTTCTCTGAACTACTAAAACTTTCCACTAACGGTTTTCCAGAACCTGTCAGAACCTGCTGGATTTCACTCCTGGTCCAGACGCTTGGCCATGGACTCCTATTTATGACGTTCCCCTTTGCAATCTTCTGGCAACCGAAGTCCAATGGGCAAACCAGATTCACTTAAGAACCAACATGGGAAGGCCTGGGAAAAAAAAAAACATCAGAAAAAATTGGGGTGGGGAAAACAGGTTTTTTTCCCCATTTTTTCCCATGTTTGTCCAGACCTTCCCATTCTAACTTTAACACCTGCAGTGATCCATGTAAACGATGTAAAAAAGATGTGGAGACTCTAGAAAGAGTGCAGAGAAGAGCAACAAAGATGATTAGGGGACGGGAGGCTAAAACCAGGGGGTGAAATCCAGCAGGTTCTGGAGAACCGGTAGCAGAAATTTGGAGTAGTTCGGAGAACCGGCAAATACCACTTCTGGCTGATCCAAGAGTGGAGTGGGAATGGGGATTTTGCAGTATCCTTCCCCCAGGAGTGGAGAGGGAATGGGGATTTTGCAGTATCCCTTCCCTTGGAGTGGGGATAGTGGGGAAGGGAATGGGGATTTTGCAGTATTCTTTCCCCTGCCACCCCCACCAAGCCATACCACCAAGTCACACCACGCCCACCAAGCCACGGCCACAGAACCAGTAGTAAAAAAAAATTGAATTTCACCACTGGCTAAAACATATAAAGAACGGTTGCTGGAATTGGGTATGTCTAGTTTAATGAAAAGAAGGACCGGGGGAGACATGATAGCAGCCTTCCAATATATTGAGGGGCTGCCCCAAAGAAGAGGGAGTCAAACTGTTCCACAAAGCACCCAAAGGCAGGACAAGAAGCAAGGGTGGAAACTAATCGAGGAGAGAAGCAACTTAGAAATAAGGAGAAATTTCGTGACAGTGAGAACAATTAACCAGTGGAACAACTTGCCACCAGAAGTTGTGAATGCTCCAACACTGGGAGTTTTTAAGAGGAGATTGGACAACCATTTGTCTGAAGTGGTGTAGGGTTTCCTCTGCCTAAGCAGGGGGTTGGACTAGAAGACCTCCAAGGTCCCTTCCAACTCCTGTCATTCTATTGTATTCCAACTTTAACACCTACAGGTAGTGTCAAGAAAAGTAATAAAAGGTGGCAAAGCTCAACTGATAAACTCCTTTAGCAACAGACATCCTGGCCTCCGTTGTGGTCGGTTCGTAACCGAGGACCAACGGTGCCACATCTCCTCTCTTTTCTCCAAGCCGCCCAAACAAAGGATGGGAGTTCAGAAGTCCCAGGAAGATATTTTTAAGGGACGATTCTCCCACCTTGCAGAATTTGCGTTGTGCATCGCGCATGGATTCAGGAAGGGACTTCTTGCTTGCAGTCCACAAAAACAACAACAAAAAACAACTGCGGCCTGTTTCCACATTTCGGGAACGTTTGTCGTCGTTGTTTTCTCTCTAGCTTGCACACTCACTCACTCAGGTGTTGCCATTTTTATTTGGTTTTTGTTCCTTCTAGTAGCAAATATATTACTCTCTCTCTCTCGCTCTCTCTTCTTTTTCTCTCTCTCTCGCTCTGCTTGTTGGGGTCTTAAAGGAAAGATGAATGGCCGGTCTCTCCAGCGATGAAGCAAAGGGGGGGGGAATGCTGAAGGTGGGCTGGCACACACCACCACCACAAAAAACCCGTCTTGGCGATTCATCATCTTTGCTGCATAAATTTCCAGGAGTAAATATCAAACCGTGGAGGCGAGGTTTGAGGTTGGGAAAAGGAGGCAGCCGGCTTTAAATCATGCGTCGCGTTGGCTCAGTTCTTGGCGTGGCAGTTCGGCCTCTTGCGTGGAGTTTGACGGGAGTCCACTGGAGGCTTTGTCATTGAAAACAAAGGACCCGGCTACACACACACACACACACACACACACAAACACCTTTGTGCATTGAGTACAGCTACAGGATGATATTGACATTAATCCCAAGTGCTCCGAAGGCTGTCTCTTAATATAATAGAAGGCCTTCCTTCCTTCCCCTCGCTACTTTTGTTCCTCTCCCCTCCTGTCCCTCCCTCCTTCAGAATCCTTCCTTCCTCCTTCCTTCCCTTCCTTCATTCCTTCCTCCTTTCCCCTCCTGTCCCTCCCTCAGAATCCGTCCTTCTTTCCCCTCCCTTCCTCCCTCCCTCCCTTCATCCTTTCCCCTCCTTTCCCTCCCTCCCTCAGAATTCTTCCTTCCCCTCCCTCCTTCCTCCTTTCCCCTCCTGCCCCTCCTTCCCTTCCTCAGAATCCTCCCTCCTTCATTCCTTTATCCTTTCCCCTCCTGCCCCTCCCTCCCTCCTTTCCCCTCCTGTCCCTCCTTCAGAAGCCTTCCTCCTTCCCCTCCCTCCCTCCTTCCCTCCCTTCGTTCCTTCCTCCTTTCACCTCCTTTCCCTCCCTCCCTCAGAATTCTTCCTTCCTGCCTCTCCCTCCCTCCCTCCCTCCTTCCCTTCCTTATTCCTTTCCCTCCCTCCCTCCCTCAGAATCCTTCCTTCCTTCCTCCTTTCCCCTCCTGTCCCCCTTAGAATCTCTCCTTCCCCTCCCTCCTCTCCCCTCCCTCCTTCCCTTCCTCAGAATTCTTCCTTCCCCTCCCTCCTTCCTCCTTTCCCCTCCTGTCCCTCCCTCCCTTCCTCAGAATCCTCCCTCCTTCCCCTCCCTCCTTCATTCCTTTATCCTTTCCCCTCCTGTCCCTCCTTCAGAAGCCTTCCTCCTTCCCCTCCCTCCCTCCTTCCCTCCCTTCGTTCCTTCCTCCTTTCACCTCCTTTCCCTCCCTCCCTCAGAATTCTTCCTTCCTTCCTCCTTTCCCCTCCTGTCCCCTTAGAATCTCTCCTTCCCCCTCCCTCCTCTCCCCTCCCTCCTTCCCTTCCTCAGAATCCTTCCTTCCCCTCCCTCTCCTCTCCCTCCCTTTCTCCCTCAGAATTCTTCCTTCCCTTCCCTCCTTCCTTTCCTCCTTCCTTCCTTCCTTTCCTTCCTTCCAA